GAGGCCACTAACCTAATCCAACCTGTCTAGTGTACGGTTAGTTGTGTGATAGTGAGACCACAACTTAATCCAAACTGTCTAGTGTACGCGTTAGTTGTGTGACAGTGAGACCACAACCTAATCCAACCTGTCTAGTGTACGGGTTAGTTGTGTGACAGTGAGGCCACAACCTAATCCAACCTGTCTAGTGTACGGTTAGTTATGTGACAGTGAGGCCACAACATAATCCAACCTGTCTAGTGTACGGGTTAGTTGTATGGCAGTGAGGCCACAACCTTATCCAGCCTGTCTAGTGTACGGATTAGTTGTCTGATAGCATATACACAATCGAAATTGAAATAATCATTGTCAGAAGAGAGCATGTAAAACATACAGATATTTAATAAAATAATGATTTTTTCTTCTGAAATTCGGTGTATTTTTCTGAATAATATCAAATGTTTTCATCTCCTATTAAAGTTATATGTATTGTAAACTTTCTACGAAAAAAAAAGAATGAATATATTTGGGTAATCTAGCTATTAAAAGCTCTAACCTTATGTAAATCTAAGTTATGATTAAATCTAATAAAATAGTCAATGGGTTTATATATATGGCAGTTAGAAAATTCATTTAAACCTAAAATCGACTGTATAGATTGGAGCTCAGATTGTTAATTCACGTAACTGTGTATCGTCGTGGTAGCCTGTAAACTTTTCATTGTGGCATGTTCACATACATATGTTGTATAAAGGAAGGACTGAAATGTTTTACTTGGCTCAAAAGATCAAACTGTCAATGTCAGTGTAATTGTTATTGTCATAGTTAATGGTCTATATGAACATCAAGTGGGTTTCCTTCCATTGTTATGTAGTTTAATCATAAATTTCAGCTATTAAACTGTGTACCGACATCAAGGGATTCCTAGGAAGAGCTGTATATGGCAGTAGGACCTAGATTTGAAAGATCCCACTCTATTGGGACTTGAATCCATCACGTGGATGCTTTCAAAAGAGGAATCCAGGTTTCACTGTCTTTTGTGACATGTTGTGTGCATCAGTGTATTATCAGTTATCTATTTTATTTTTCATTACTCGTGCGTGGTTCACATCCTTTTATTTTAATGTTATTCCATTTTTTTCACACGATCTTCTCTGAAATCATGAGCTACTTGCGGTAGCCTGATATTGCAGGATATCTACTGTTTTTCTTTTTTTCTCTATTGTATTGAAGTTCACATTCATAAGGAATATTGTGAGCGGTGTTTTTGCTCTCCGTGGAGGCTTTAGGTGATTTGTTACGCAATAAGTGCTATCGAACTTAGTTTTTGTTTTTAGAATTTCGTACAAAACTATACAAAATGTTGTCTGTATATGGCCGTCCCTAATTTGAGACTGGTAGAAAAGATAGAAGGTAGCAGGTCAGCAACACCCCCACCCCTCCCGCCAACTCTTGGGCTACTCTTGTCTGATTGAATAGTGTAAGTTTGACAGTGATTCTTATAGCACACACGTGACCTCAATATGCGGAAGGCGATGTTGCGGCAATGAGCCACGAACCACAAACCTTCGCATTCACAGTCTGAGCACGCTAATCACTAGATTACACCCGACCTTCGCATTGTGTACTGACTTTGTATCTTTTTATAGAGGCATTTAACATAAGGAAACTAGGCTGAACGTCAGTAATTTTCTTGCTGTTAATCTTATTTTTTCTATGTCAGGTGTTCATTGCGTCCATTGCCAAGGAGGGCCGTGGTGATAATTTCCTTTATTAATCTTAGCATCATCTGAATTATAAGTCTTGTTCATTATGGAGTCTAAGTAGCCCATGACGCTCGTCTTTACATCTGGTATAGAAATAATAAAAACGTGGGTATAGCCTTCAAGTGTTAGTTGATTCAACTTCAAGCGAGATGAGACCTCGAACGAAAGATTAAAATGCCTAAGAACACCCAGGTTCGAATCGCAGCTTCTGCCACCACATACAGTTTTTCTCCGAATATTCCTGAAGAAGGCAATAGATAAGAAACAGAAACTTAGGACTAAACTAACTAGTAATTAGTCGCTAATGATAGTAACTAATTAGTAATCTGGTTTAAGTATATGATATTAATTCTGACAACGAATGATATCCGATTGCCACAACCTTACCATTAAGGAATTGATGTAACTGAATTTATCTGGCTTTGTTTGAGAGTATAAGTCTAAATATGACTTGATATTCCAGTTTACAGATTTGAGTGTCAAATGTCTAGCTTAACTTCAACAATGAAGATTTGTTTGTTTGTTGTTAAGCCCAAAGTTACACAATGCGGGTTTCGAAACCCAATTTTCAGCGTCATAAACACTCAGGTTTACCGTTGAAACACCGGGGGCCAACCAACAATAAAGGATACTTAGGAAAATTTGTTACTTATGAGTGTTTACTTTCACACATCAGAACGCACACCAAAATTCATTCCGCCGTCTTGCTTTCAAACTACGGTCCCAATGTTTTCCATGATTTATCGAACGATAATACTATTCTCAACTAATGAAGCAGAAGAACGACAGATATAGATGTTGAATATTTTAATAGTAAATTAGTAGGCTTATATATAACGGCAGATATAGATGTTAAATATTTTAATAGTAAATTAGTCGGCTTAGATATAACGACAGATATAGATGTTGAATACTTTAATAGTAAATTAGTCGGCTTATATATAACGACAGATATAGATGTTGAATATTTTAATAGTAAATTAGTCGGCTTATATATAACGACAGATATAGATGTTGAATATTTTAGTAAATTAGTCGGCTTATATATAACGACAGATATAGATGTTGAATATTTTGATATTAAATTAGTCGGCTTATGTATAAGGACAGATATAGATGTTGAATATTTTAATAGTAAATTAGTCGGCTTATATATATAAGGACAGATATAGATGTTGAATATTTTAGTAGTAAATTAGTCGGCTTATATATATAAGGACAGATATAGATGTTGAATATTTTAGTAGTAAATTAGTCGGCTTATATATAACGGCAGATATAGATGTTGAATATTTGAAAGTAAATTAGAAGGCTCATATACATTACGGAGATACGTGATGTTTATTTATTTTAAATCTATAAAAATAAACAATATTTATCATAATTTACTAAGGAAGACTGTTTGTGTTTTCATAAAATAATATGTTTGGTTTGAGCTACCTTTCAGTTCGTAGTGTAATATCAGCTGTCAACAGATTAAGTAAACAATACTACTTGTTTTTACTTTATCTATACTTCCTCCACTCTTAAAAGATCTGAACAAAATGTTTAACGAAATTGGAATAAATTGTTTCATATCCAGTTTTATATATTAGCCTTTCAGATATCCGAAGAAGTATTTCTTTCTTTCTTTTTTTTTAGAGCACCTATTATTTACTAAATAAACAAAACTGTGCTCAGGCACAGCCCCTGCCTTCACAAACTAAAATACTTAAGTACTCCCATTTCATTTCATATTAAAAAATATATAGATTGTTCTTAAACTCGAAAGTTAAATTGAATTTATATACCACAACCATTTTAACATACATATGCTCCTAGCCAATAACACATAAAGTTAGGTAACTGCTGTACTTACTTACCAATCCAGTTTGAAGGAAGCATGTATAACTGGTGTACTCACTAATGTTGCCTGTCCCTTTCTGATCTAATCAATAGCGGAAGTTGGTTTGCCAGAGTCGATCATCGAATGTGAGAAAGGTTTGTCGCTTGTGTCATGACACGTGCTTATGGGAAGGGCTGAAAAGTTTTCAAAACTGCTGTACTTTTGTCTTTTAATCTCCCTAAGTTCTTCGAATGGTAAGTTATTCATAAGCTAAAGTTATTCTTAAATTTGAAAATACGTTACAGTTATTTTCACCCAAAATGAAATTTACGTTAAGAGTTGAATTAATAGGATTGAAAGAAAAGAAAAAAAAAGATTGTTCTTTTATTTGCGAGATTTGGTTATATTTTGTATTTATAATAACAAAAACGATAGAGTGTGTAAAGCGATGAAATGTATAGGTTGAAAAAATCGTAGATAGATATAATAAATAGTATTTTGAAAAGGAATAAGTAATGGCTCGTAAGTTTCAAAACTACTTTATGACATTTCAGTACATGACAAACTTCTTTAGGCACTAACAGTGTGCAAGAATACATAAATCCCTATGTTTTAACATTTCTGATTCTAGGTACTCATAGCTTTATGGACCTGAAGGATATACACGCAAAAACCTGAAACGCTGTTCATGACATGATCTATCCCGGAAGCTGTATCTGCGCAAAGCTAACTAATTCTGTTTGTTTGTTTTGAATTTCGCGCATAGCTACACGAGGGCTATCTGCACTAGTCATCCCTAATTTAGCAGTGATAAAGGTAAACATATTTATAAATAAAATAAAGGTTATAGACCCAGTACATTTGTCAGTAAGTAAAAACCATAAATAACTTAAATTGGTAAATCAATAATAGTATTCCAGACTCCTTAAAGAGCAAGAAATGCTCTTCCAACAAGAAACCTAGAGGTATGGTTTAAAAGCATATTCAGTGGAGATTTGGATTGACTGCAAGTGTACGTATAGAAAATTGTCCTTTAGAAAGGACAATTGTCCTTTCAATAATATGAAACTAATACATTGTGAGGAAAACCTATGCTAAGTAGGCAAGGAAACGTGTACAACAAAGTTATTTTGATTTGTAGCGAGATACGTAGACAAGATAAAGTTTACCTATTAATTAAGGATGTTACAATTTAGTTAATGCTTTTGAAATGATACAGTACTTGCTGTCGTTGTATTGTATTTCGTAATTTTGTTTTTCATTACCGTAAACGATCGTATAAGATAGACAGACGTAAAGTATTTACATTGAAATCAGAGCTATGTAAATAAAATTATTAAAGTTAGTTTTAGCGTGTAGTTGAACGTTTTAATAATATGAAGTTTATTATAAAATACTGAAACATTTTTCTGCAACAAACTCGATAAAAGGAAGTTATTTTTACATTCACAGATTAAAGCTTTTGTGCTTAAATACTTATTTATTTTTTAGAGCTTAGAAATGCAAAAAAATAGAAATTTACTGAAAATTTATATAGATAAAAGGTATTCAGGTCATCAAGCTATAGAGTATGACTTATCTTTAATTGATATTATCAAATCAAAAATTCAAAATGACATTCATATCCACCTTGTGGTAATAGTAGAAGTGAGAGTACCATTTTTACAAGTCAGTCAACTATACCCCCCTCCAGTCTGCAGACTTATAATGCTAAAAACAAGATTTCGATACTAATTGTGTAGCTTTGTGTTTAGTAACAAAAAAAAAACAGTGTGGCATCTATGTTCATAATATAGATAATATGAAACTAAAAGTGATTATATCTTTTATATGTAATATAGACATAATTAAAAATAAATTATGCCTGACCAAATATTATTTTTCTAATCTCATTCACTAAAGTAATGAAATAAAATCTGTGCAAGTACGTATAAATAATGTGGTTTTTAATATTGTATATACAAATTAGTAGTGAAATTATGACGCAATCAATTTACACATAAATCACTGCCACGTGATCAGTATATCACTGTATTTATTAAGCAATATTACAAGTTTCACAACAATACACTATTTCTCTGGGGTTCATTCATATCAATAACAGAAGAAATTTATCTTCTATGACGGCAGTTGTAAATGTTCTCGGGTTGTTTACAAGATGGCGGCCAAGAGGGGTAGGATAGAGTGGTTGCACAACCTATGATGTCATAGGTGGTAGTTTCACACAGTATCACAAAAGGAGGATAGTTCCATAATGTGCTACTAGGGAAAAATACTTTCAACATGTACTACTTGGGATGGATAGTTCCATGATATACCACCAGATGGCATATTTGAATCGACGGATGTCTACAGGTTCCAGTCTGTAAACACGTTGTATTGAACTTTGTTTGAAATCGACTACACAAATTGCTAACGTAATATTAGTTCTGCATTACCGTTGTGATCAAACTATCTACTTTATACTTTGACTTTAATATCCATTTATTCAATGATTAATAAAGAATTTGAGTAAGGTAATCAGGTCATTAAACTATAGAGTATGCTTTATCTTTAATCTTTAATTAATATTATCAAACCAAAACTTCAATACGACATTCATATCCGTCTTGTGACCATAATAAACAAAGAATTTGAATAAGTAAAACCAATATTTTATGTATTACAGTGTAGCGTAATTTGAATTTTACACATAAATAATTATCCGTATATTAGTTTAGCTAACAGTCGCGAAAAAGACTGTTTTTAGTATTAACATAAATTACTCAAATTCTAATAATGTATCGTATACATGACATTTACTAATGGTAATACAATACACTTTGGCTTCCCAGTTCATGCACTTTCTCACAAATACATAGTCCTGAAAGGGTATGGGCGATGAAAACATCTATGGGAAATGGCCGATTGTATGGGTAGATGCTAGCGAACCATCAAAAGGTGTTGTTGAACCTGTCTAAACATGATTTTCAAGTTGTATCATGTAGAACGCTAACAGAGGGCGCTCTAGGTGTCAACGAGTCCCAACCTGTGACTAAAAGGGGACATGATCGTTGATGTTATGACCTCATTTATTTCATAATATAACATTTATTAGGACTACAAACATGTACCACGTGACATTTCTCTTGGATTAAAAATACAGAGTTGCTTTCCTCACTATTCAGACTAATCGTAAGTCTGATGCTGTTCTACCCCATGGAAAGAAGAATGATGAACCACCAGCATATGAATATCATTGAACTGTTTGCTTCTAAATTCATGTATCTTTATTTTCCATCTCTTTATATGTTATTCTAAATTTTGTTTTCTGTGATTATTATCTTCATAATTAATGTTGTTGTCTTTCACTAATTATTATATATGTTATAATTTTTAGTCTACTTCTGTTGAATAGAAAATGAATGTCGCTGACAATCAGGAAACGAGGATAAGTCCAAAACCAATTGTAAAGCTTAATTACTAAAGCAGGAACAACAATAGCCAGTTTCACTGATACACGACGTGAATAAGCAACGGATTCATCTCAAGCCTATCATATTGGAAATGACCAATACATCACTTTCGCGACTCATGATAATAATTGGAATATTCATATTCGTCAGTTCAAGGAAAATGAAAACTAAACCACACCAAAGAAGGAGTCACGTTTTCTTTAACTAAATAGAAGGAATTCAACAACGGATTCCAACCGTTACCGTTGTTGTACAGTGTAAGACTGAACAAAAGTTTCTCCTAGACGGACGGAATCGTGTAATTCGCGTTGTATGAGTTAACCTTCCCCTATTATGTTTACCCATCATTTTGATTATCATGGTACTGACATGATATCAGAAAATGTTTTCACACTTTCATTAAAATCAGAATGTTGCGGATTATGTGCTCAGATTTGTCAAAGTCTGATCTAATTAAATTTATTAGAACATAGCTAGGACACTTTCTGAGATACTTTAGAGAAAGACGACCTTATCCAAGATTTGTCAAATGTAATGCGTAAGTGTCTCACATCTGTATATTTCAAGATTAAACAAAGTCTACAAATAGTTGTGGTTATCCATAAACATTTCTTGAAAATTAATTTCGTTGTTATTTTTTATGTCTTACAACAACGATCTGGTCATTTGATCTACAAGAAAATACTTATTTATCTATTGATTAAAGTATTTTCACACGGAAACTCTTTGAAACAAAATTACGATCAAACCTATCGTTACTATCTTTATCGGATCTAAATTTAGTTAACAGTTTTCGTTTCGAAACATTTCGGTAACGATAATAGACTTAGAAAATACAATATTGTCTACACATATAGACGAATAAGGACCTAGCAGTGCCTTTTTTATTATAAGTCCACGTTCGACAGTTCTTCGTGATGAATCTTCTTATGTTTAGTTTATGGAGAGGTAGCTCATATGGATCAAAATATCCATCTTTTTCATCTCAATTGAAATAAATACAAACCTAGTGATTGAACCTGTCTGATGACTCGGGTACAAATTAATGATCTAGGTCTGTTTTGATCAGGGAGTTGATCAATGGCAAATACACCTCCGAGTTTGACACAAATCTTGTGAGAGTATAAAAAATACATTTCTATACTGTTCACGATTATTATATATCGATCAAGATGTTTTTGGACTGAACAATTTCTAAAATGGATTGAAATTCAGCATATGCGAGATTATTTATACTTTTGGATAATGCTCTGCCAAAACGTATCTCAGTTCGTAAGTCAGGTCAAAGAGTGTATAACCTTCCACGTATTCATCATAACTGATGTCACTTATTTGATCCTAAAACTGTTTTCCTGTTCTGTTGAAATTCAGCATATGCGAGAATATTTATACTTTTGGATAATGCT